GTTCCTGGAAGCCAACAAGTTGCACTTTGGAATGACCTTATTATTGTATCGTTTTTGATCTGAGTTTGTTTTACAGAATAAAATGTCTGAATGAGTGCTCATCCAAGACTGGTGATTCCATACTTTTTGTCAGGGTACCAAATCTTTTTTCTGCTTTCTGTATTTGCAATGGTTTGATATCTGTTAGCCCACCCTACAAATATCGCCACCAGGCATCACTAGAGTCAATGCAAAGCGATGGAAAGAGCAGAAATACTTTGACTTTGAATGTTTATGTCCGGTAACCTGGGAACTGCAGTTTGACAAAGTAATCATCTTCTGTACATTAACCGCAGATTGAGTATTGAAGTCAAATCATTTTTGATTGCTTGAGTATTTATTCTGCACTCTACTTCCTTTGTGCTTACTTGAAATGTAAAAGAATGCAAAATAAACCCTTTATTGTCAAATGTCAAGGTATGAACAAAAATGTTTTARAAAAGCAGCCATGCCAACAAGACCATGTGGTATTAATTTTGTATTCAACCTCATAAAATGATCTTCAACCAATAAATATCTCATCAATATGGGGAATAATATTTGTYTGCTGCTCAGCCTCAGCTCAAACTGGATAAAACTGGTTAATGATTTGGAGCAATAATTGAGTAGTTCAGTCACATCTGTTTAAACTTAACAGTTCAGTAGAAAAAAACGGTATTGTTGTCTGTTATTTAATTAAATAAGGGGTATTATTTCTTGTTTTTCTTCTAGGAGACTTAATGATAACAAATGAGACGGGACCAAAACCAATAATCTGTTGCTTGTTTTAGCTAACAGTTTGTTCTGTTTCAGTTCYCCTCAAAAGACTGGTTAAATTGTTAAATTGTTATAAATGAAACCAATAATGTCTGATCCTAAGCTTTTCTGGCTTTGGTCAATTTTTAAGGCAGAAACACTCATTCAGCTCTGTAAGCATCAAATGACCAGCAAAAGTTGAGCAGCACAATAAACACAAAATCATTTATCTGACCTGTCGGGTGGATTCAAACAGTTTTCCGACGACTGTGGCTTTTAAGATGATTTTTTTTTTTTTTTGGGTGGGGTTTAATTTATGTACTTTAGACCTGTGGAGAAACCCTTTAAAATCCAATGTAACAAATGAAATTAGCAGAACCATGAGTCAAGGTTTTAGGATCGCTCTATCGTAAAGAACAAGATAGGATCCTTTTCGTGTGTGCGTGTGTTTCGCTGAGCTGCATCATAAGCTGACATGCTTGAGATACTGCTCTCWTTTACATCAGCAAGTACCAGTCCATGAAGATGGTGCTGCATGAACTCTGTTAACTACACACTGAACAGTTCATTTTCTGTGTCACTCCCATCCAAACTCAGGTGGATATTTTAAAAGTGGGAGCCCTAAATATTTGTTTGCTTTGTTAACTTGCAGGCCAGTGGCTCTATTTGTGACTCTGCTAGCCGCGGTGTTTTAGCATCTGTATGTGTTCCCACCCCTCTGCTCCCAAAAACAAACACCACAAAGTGTCAATTGAATTATGAGCCTGCTTTCTGCCCACTCATTTTGATAATAGATTTTGAGATAAATTACTCAGCTTTGTTTGGTGAGTAATGCTCGGCTGACAGGATAACAGAGGAGAACGCTCTCATACTCCGTAACATCTACATCATTTAAAGCACTAACAAGATACCGCCGGATGTTTCTCACAACCTTTTACACAGGAGACCACGAATTGAATTTTTTTCCACATCTCCCAAATCCATGCCTGCTATCTTCCGAGGGAACACAAAGAGAGGCAGGAGCCTGGCCAAGTAAGTACCACAAAACACAATTACAACGCAGGCAGAGATCTCTCCTGTCTCGGTAAATGGACTCTTGTTGAAATTGCTGGAAGCCCACGTCTCTGCAGTGACAGTTTTGCTTTGTTCATTTGCCAATTAATAACTTTACCGTGAAAGGTTTGCGGGTGGACCTCGTTGATTCTGTGTTATTAAAACTCCCGATGTTACTAACGAAGTCTCTCTGTCCGCAGCTGCAGACTGTTAAACAGGAAGACCACCAGACACACACACACACACACTGGCTGTCTGCTCCTCTAATGCCAGCTATTTGCTATCGATATTGATCAGTTCTTGATTTTCCCTTCAGCTGGCCTGTCTGTGAAACTCTCCACTGTAAGCCATTGCTCACCCACATGTCAATTACTGTAGATGGAGAGAGCACCACTCTGTCTTAATGAAAGCAGATGGGCTGAGGACTTAAACAGTTTTCCTCTGCTGCTGATTTAAAAGCTTCGTGTTAGGGGAAGTGAGAAAGTGGGTTGCTGTGGAGATTCGTGCTCAGCTATTTTAACAAATGATGTAAAACTGTAATGTGGTGTGATTACAGTGTCAGCACAAAGTGTGTTCATGTGACTTGCAGCATCAACAATGAGCCTAAATGTGATATATAGTAGGAGACCGAAGTATCAAACAAGAACGGACAAGATTTATTTCATCTTTAATGTAATTTCGTCTTCTCAGTTMACAGTGTTTCTGCCTTTTCATGTGTGGGACTTGTGTTTTGTCACCGACGAACTGTTTTACATGAACTCGATTWAAATTTTAAAGAAAATTGTGTTTCTAAATACCAAATTTACCTTTTGTTAGTGCAGTTTTGGGGTCAAAAACTTTTTTCATGCTTGTTAAATGTACTTGAATAACAGCCATGTTTCCATCGATTTTAATTCGCATTTTGAGCAAACTTTTAAATGTCGCAAAGCAAGAAATGTTTAGTTTATTTAATTTAGTTTATTCATTTCATTCATTTCTTTAAAAACAACGTAAATTCAACAACAAACATAAAAATACAAATCACAATTTAAAAGAAAGGCAGCAGAAGAKGAAAAATTCTTGTTATATCTGCCCCTTTTTCTCAAAAAAATTTCAATCAAATATTATCTACAGATTACAAAAAAAGGAAAAAGAAAAAGAAAAAAGAAAACAGTTTAAATCCTTGAAAAACAATTCATACATGTGCAAATTTCTCCAGCAAATTAACCTTTATCATTCTCTTAAACATGCATATTGATGTGGCATTTTTAATGTCATCTTCCAGATTATTCCATAATCTAATTCCTTGGACTGAAGTACTCCGTTCCTTTAAACTGGTTCTAATGTGTAAATGTGCATCAGACTTGGTTCCATCAATTGGCTTGGAGAAAATCTGACGTAATTACACTTTGTGTAGCGGCTACACAAAGTGTAATTACGTCAGATGGTGATGTTACGTAAGGCTGTGGTAAACAGGAAGCAAAGTCTCAAAAGCACAGGAACCACATTTTCTGTTCCCAAAACAACTGATTACAGAATCTGGCTCTCCCCTACAACGGCCTTGAGCTGCTGACTAAATTCTTCCTGGCTGGATTACGTCGACAAGGCTCTGCCCCACACCTCCCCCCTCCRCTCTCACCCATCTGATTTGGTTTTCTGAGCAGGCTGAGGGCCACACAGAATGAACAGTTCCATCAATATTCTGAACTATGGCTGCGCTGGTTTTGGGGACTGGATTCTTCGGGGCCCCCTAAACTCACTTACTCCTCTGGCTAATAAATCTGCCCTATGCAGAGGTTTTTTCATAAACACCATAGTYTGTCACAGTGTTGATATAATATGATGCTTTTGCTTTTTTCCTCATCTTCCCTCGTGTGTTTTTAGATCATTTGTTGTTCTGTTTTTAAGGTAGTGCAACTGTGTTTGCTGCATTAACTGCCCCTTCCCCCTTCCCTGAATGTACAACAGCATCTTGTGAATTTATTTCTGTGAAAGGCACTATATAAATAAAACTTTACTTACTTACTCACTTACACACATCCCAGGGGAGATAAGTTATCAGGAAGGTGTTGCTACTATCGGGAAATTTGTAATTATTCTGTCATATCAACTAGTATTGGCTATGTTACCTGCTGGAGATGTAGAAAAAGAAATGTAATTCTCTTCACATTACGGGAATATCCAGGAAGACACCAAAAGCAGAAGAAGGGTGCGGCTGCAGCCACAACTGCTATTGGACAGTGGAACAACTGATCGAGGTAAATGTTCGCTACGTCAGAACTTATTTAGCAAATGTGTTTCCATCTCACCTTTTGTGCATTAAAGGCACAATGTGTAGGATTTTTTTGTTTTCAGCGACATCTAGTGGTTGACTCAACCTCCCTGGTCCTCCCCCCACCCCCACCCCCACTTCCAAATGCAAAGGATTTGCTACGG